TAATGGCCTTTTTAGATCTTGGGCTCCATATGAAAGTTGTAGGCCTATGTCTTACCTTTCCATCCATATAAATTTGACCTAAATCTGAGATATATAGCTCTAGATATGACCCAATTACCGAACAGTGTTCTGGTTTGGATTGCACCGACATCTCTTTTCTAAGTTTGGTCATCTCTTTATCCTTGCAATTTAAGTTCTTCAAGTCATCAATCAATCCTTTCATTTATGTGATAGGCCTGCATTAAAAATAGATATTTACCATAAATTATAGGTATCTTATATTATTAGATACATTATTATAAAACATATTTTAGTTAAGGAGTTATTGATATTTCAAGTGCAAAATGATGATATAAAATCATGATAAAAATGCACTTTTAAGTACTAATCAGTACCCAAAAAACAAATACAATCACACAATTAACATACACAATTTCACCATCATAGTTACTAATACTTTTCAAAACTAAACAAGCAATTCTCATCTCTTTAACACCTTTATAAACACATTAGTTTTTTAATAAATTCTTAGTCTAATACACTTTTTCTTTCTTTTTTAAACAATAGATAAACTTCTATTTTTATTTTTATTTTTATTTTATATAATCATTGAACTATCATTGTCTTGTTCACGATACCTCTTGATTAAGAATCCAATTCTTCACTCATCTCAAACATTCATCAATTATATTTTAAATTAATTATAGCAATTGTATTGTTACAATCATCTTCATTTATAATTTTATTTAGCCTTCTTTATATAATCATCTCAATTACTCTTTGTTCATAGCCCAAATCAATTTAGGTTTTATTAAACTATCCAATATCCTAATCTTGTTATGTTTATTCATCATATTCAATGTTTAAAACTCTAACTTTAACCTTCTTATAGGTTCGTTGAACACATTCCATACCTTGAATTATACTTTCCTTTTACTCTGGTTTATCAATTATATTTATTTTTTTAACATTTATTAAATCATTTTTTACTAGCTACACTTTTATTAATTCATTTTGAATTTCATGGTCTCATTTATGGATTATCATTAAAAATCTCCATTCACAACATCAATCCTACTTAATATAGCTCATTTATATCACTTTAAAATCTCAAATATTCCTCAAGCTCATTTAAGCTCATTTAAGACTCACTCATATATTTTCAATATTAATATTACTTAAGCCAATTTATGGCTCATTAAAATTATCCATGACTATGAATTATTTTTAATTATAAATAATTCATATTTCAAAATATAATATCTTTCATTTTTGTAGCTAGATTAATATTTAGTATGTTAGATCCATCATTGTGATCAATTTATTTTTTTCCTATTAAATTTCACTGTTATGGACAAGATAAAAGTTATGTAATAAATTTTATCATTGTAGTCAATTAATTTTTTTTCCTTATTATATTTATGCTATTATGGTCCATTCAACTTTTCTTATTAGTTTTTCCAATCCCTTAATTTCTCATATAATAAATTCCGCCATCACAGTTGGTTTAAATTTTACATAATAATTTTTCCCCATAAACATAACCATATATATATATATATATATATATATATATATATATATATATATATCCTACATGACATTTTTAGATCATAATGAATTTATACTCACATAAATCATATATATTTGTGTTTTCCTACTTCATATCAAATTCACATTAACATGATTTATTTCAAATTTAAACTTGTAACATTCACCAAATAATATTCATATATTTCATTTACAATAATAAATAATTAAATAAAATGCTTCTTTTACTTAAAGCAAGGTGGGTGATAGATAGCAAAAACATATAATAATCAATGAAATACTAAATATTCACCTACACATTTCATATATAAAAGTTTGAAATTGATCAAACTCTAATACAATCAATTAACTAGACATGCAATATTTAATCTAACTCAATCCCATTTGTAATTACTATCGCACATCAAATATTTATGAAATATACAACTTAAATCAATTAACCATAGTTAACCTTTTAAATCTTTCCAAATTCTCTAAACTAGAAATTTGACCAATTATAGTAAAACTCATAATTTGTCATGTTATTTCTCAAACATGTTAATTTTAATGTCAAACATATAATACACAAACCCTCAACAATTGATCATCAAAATAAATAAAAAATCTCTAAATTCAATATATAGCCCACCACTTATAAATCAAGAAACTCATGTCTTTCATCAAATTTTATTTTATTTCATCAATTTCCTAAATTGTTAACACAATTAATTAACCCTAACTTTATATTATTAAATTCACATTCTCACATTAATATTTCAAAGTTTTATTCTCATACTTCCTACAATACAAACCTAACATAAAAGTCATATATCCTATTTAAAAATCCACTTTAAATACAATCAACACATAAACTATTTAAACAATACAATTTAATCAATTTATAAAGGTTATCTTCACATATATTTTTTCAAAATTATTTAAATAATCATTTGACCAAATCTTAACAAAATCCTTAAATTTTTCATATCTCTTTTACTTCTTCTTCTCTGTTTTTTTTTTCTTAAATGTATTTATTTCAATATTCAATCCTACCAAAACAACATATAAACAATCAGAATTTTATCCATCATTTATATTTTTTAAACAACAAAAATATTTATTTCAATACATGTCATTTATTTCTTCTACCACAATTATATTAGCACTTAATCCTTAAGGCTTTCACATTATTTATACACATTCCGCATCATTAAATCCTCATTACCTAATTTTTCAAAAACACACAAGCATTATAAAATTCAAAGTATTCAACCCAAAACTCTTTTCCAAATACAATTTATCATTCCTACACATTTAATAAACTTCCAACATCATAAATTTGAAACATTTTCCCATCTCCTTTAAATGTTCCCCATGGCCGCCTTAGGTTTTATTTCTCATTGATTTTTTTATTTTTTCTCTTGAATTATTATTACCATTATCTATTTCATGTCAAGTAAATCAACAACTATAAAATAACCTCCAAAAAAAAAACCCACACTCATGGCCAACCATTATAGAGTTAGAAATCCAAAATTTATTTTTCAATTCTTTCAATCTTTCCCTGATCCAAAAATTCTCAAATGTCCCATTATCAATCCCACAAATTGTAACTCTCACAAATATCAACAAACCCTAACAATCTAAAAATTAGAGCTTTTATTTTCCTTTTCAATAAAATTCAATTAAAAAGATATAATTCATCTCATCCAACAACAATCAAGCTCATTCTCATTTGATGAGTTCGAAACAACTTCTTCCATAATTTCCACCTTTTCATTTCCAAAATCACCACTTTTCTCTTATTGGTTTCAAGCTTTCAAAGTAAAGAGAGCAATATTGTTAAGACTTGCTTTACTTGCTATAATTAGACATCTTTAGCATAAAAGTATAAGCGACTATGATATAAATTGATATTGATGATAAAATAGTACTGTATATTTATAGAAACAAGAAAAATCATAAAACTAAGAATAAAACATTGATTGAACCTTGAAACATGATTGGTTTAAAACCAACAGATGTTTCTGTCTACAAGCCATCATTAATCATCCCTCTATAGCAAAATAAAAGATCAAGAACTTCTAAAAGACATTTGTAAAGGTCCATATATTTTAATGTCAATAGAAGCATAAAAATCCTTCAGTGAAAAGAGAAATGCCATCAAATACTAACAATAAAAGGAACATGGGAACTCACTACACAGCTTGAAGAAGCACTTCATAAAATAAAGTCAGTCATGCACCTGCTCTGGAAATCATTGCCTCCATGATATCAGAAGGAAATCTCTTTCCATATAGTTTCTTTCTCAACTCAATTACTACACATGCTTTGTAGGAAAAGTAAATAAACTTAAGATGATATGAGTCCATACAAATAAATATAGCCCTAAAAAAATAGTTTTCAATAAAAATTAAAATTGTAAAAATCAAATATTCTATTTCAAACAAGAAGTGAAACAATTCTATAATACGGCTAACAATCAATAAACAATTATAAAGAAAGACTAGAATTAAAAACTATGCTTTAACTTTTTTGTAAGTAAACTAACAACCACCCTTTTAGCATCTTGTATAATTTTACGCACCATCATGGTCTCATCAAAAATATCATTTTTTTTGTTGGATTGTTCTCTCTTCCACATGCTTTTTAGGCTTTCTTATGAGATGATGACTTTTAAGCCTTAATTCATGATTTATTTTTTCTTTTATCTATGAAATTACTATTACTTTAGATGTGTTTTGCTTCATTCAAAACCTTTTATTCCTATAATCCTGAAGCTAACCATGATGAAATAAAATGATCAAGAACACACCTATACATTTATTTAAAATAAAGTGATTCCATTATCAAAAAGACAACATTCAATGGGTGGTTTTAGAAATTGTTAATGAGATGGATACAAATAAGCTAAATGTACTTGTTTTGTTGAATTTTGAAAGGCTAAAAAGAATATAATAATTAGTATTTTGTGATTTTTAATGTTCCATGTACAATTTAAACTTTCTTTCTGGATTGAGCTATATAGCTGAGCTCTATAGCCCATTCTTGTAAGCAACTTTAGCAAGTAGTTATGTATCTAATTATAAAGTTGAAGAGAAATTTATAGCTTATCAATTTAATCCCACTTCATGCTCCCTATATATATAATGCAACATCATGCTATGCAAGAATATAAAAATGGCATGGATTGAAATGAATCCATATCTTGGTTTTTCAAATCTCAAAAACTGGCTTTAGAATCAACTTGATTAAAGGTTATTTGGGGTTGCCATACAACATGTGTTTCATAATATTTTTTTTAATTATTTGTTTAAAATTATTTTTTTTATACTTTCAGATTGTTTTGTTTTGATGTGTTAATGTTAAAAATTATTATTTTTAATATATATATATATATATATATATTAAAAAATAATTACTACCGCACTGGATTTCCCCTAAAACAAGCTATATTACACATAATAAGATATAAAACACTATGAAGATCATGCCTTACTTCACTCCACTCGCTAGTAAAGTTAATATGGACATAATAACAGTTACCTCAAGCACATAATCTGATTGAACAAAATAAAAGAATTTAGGACCATAATGATAAAAACACTGTAATGAATGTAATTTCTAGCTTTCGCTAGACACTTGGGCCGTTCCACTGTGAAATCCAGCTGCAGCATGCTATTTTCTTAGGTTTTTGTTTCAGCAGATTGTCCATCACCCTTCCTCGTGAGGTCTATCAGTCTCTTATTCCAAGGCGAGAGGGGGGCGTCGTGCCTCTTCTGCTACTCTGAGCTCCAAATCCTCCAATGCTTGACTACTAGTAATGGAGGTTTCAGTGGTGGCATTGGCGCGCATCCAGGCTTCATGAAGTTGCAAGACAAATTCCAAATGCCACAGAACTTCCCCCATTGTTGGACGATTCTTCCCCTCATCAGCAAGGCATTTTTCTGCTATCTCTCCAAACTTCTTCAATGACTCAGGGCAAGAATTTCCTCCGAGACGTGGGTCAACGATGGTCTCCAGTGATTTCTGCCGCTGCCACTTCATTGCCCACTCTGCGAGGTTGATCTGGTCTTTTGGCAAGCTTGGGTTTATAACAGGTCGAGAGCAAACAACTTCAAACAACACCACGCCAAATGAGTAGACATCAGATTTCTCAGTCAACTGCTGTCGACGATAGTATTCAGGATCAAGATATCCAAAGCTTCCTTTCACTGCTGTACTAACATGTGTGTGGTCCAAAGCTGGACCAGCTTTAGACAACCCAAAATCTGCCATTTTTGCTACAAAATTTTCATCAAGCAGTATGTTGGTTGTCTTAATATCCCTGTGAATTATTCCACGATCTGCTCCGGTATGGAGATAATGGAGTCCCCTGGCGGCACCAATGCATGCTTCTAGTCGCTGCTTCCATGTCAATGGTGGGAAATCACTCCCAAAAAGATGACTTCGAAGAGTTCCATTTGCCATATACTCATAAACCAAGATCATTTCATTCTGTTCTTCGCAGAACCCAATCAACGAGACCAGATGCCTGTGCCTTAACTTTGAAAGCATCTCAATTTCTGTTTCAAATTCAGTCAAGCCTTGCTTGGATTGTGGGTTTGACCGTTTGATTGCTGCAAGTGTGCCATCTTCAATCTTCCCACTGTATACTTTACCAAAGCCTCCAACTCCTATCACCAAACTGTCATCAAAATTGTTCGTTGCCGCACGAATCTCTGACAAGGTGAAACGCCTGCCAACTCTAGTAGACGCTGCCAACGATCCATTTAGAGAACGGACCCCTCCCTTATTATAAGCAATGCTACTTACAACAGCACCATGCATGAATAGTGGCCGCCATCCAGGAGGGTTGCCTTTGGCATCACTCATTTGTTTTCTTCGATATTTGCCGAAGCAAAAGATGCAAGTAAATGTAATAGCAGCAATGAGGACAGAAGCTACACCTGCTCCAACCCCCAACCAGAGAGTCCAAGATTTTGAATGACTTCCAGATTTCTCAGTTGAATCAATTCTGTCAGCATATGCAAGATTCGCACTTCGGCTCAGCTTGAAAATCTCCAGTCCGTTCAAGAGAGCATCAGTTCCTGAAGCACCAACTGCAGTGTCAGGACCCAGTTGGACCCAAAGGGTGTTGGTCTTGGAGGAAACCGTATCATAATAATCCTGATGATATGCTATGTTCTTCCCTCCTGCCCGTACATAAACATCAAAGCTATCAGCAGCTGTCTTGTTGTTTATATAGACCCTGAAAATCCTCTGGTTTGCTTTGTCATATACCAGCTCACAAAAATGTAACCGGATTAAATAATCAAAACCAGGATCTACTTCGAATTTCCATGACATGTTAAACTTTTTCTCCAAGACTTCTGTGTTGGACATGATCCTTGCTGTTTCATATACAAGAAGTGGAGCCACCAAGGAATCATTGTTCGATGAATAAGTGACATTAGAAGTATTCCTGACTTCAACACCAGCATCTGCTGTAATCATGTAGATGGAATCCATTTCCCATTTCCTCCAAAGCTCTGAATCTTGAATAGTTTTGATCTCCTGTCCCCCAATATTCAACCGATACATAGTTTCAATCCCCCGTCCGCTTACATTGAAATTGGCATTACTTCCACCCACTTTACTAACTGAGTCTGCAAAAAGTGTGCCAACCACAGGGACAACCTCTATGGCATTTATGAACCCGAATGATCCCCTAGATGAAACAAATTCAACCACAAGAACATCATTGATTGCTAGAATATACTCTTTGACCAAGGACAAAGAACTTGAATTGCTGTTGGAATTCTGCAAGTGCAAATTCTTGTTTGAAATCTCGACCGGAACATTGAACTCAGTCATCAGTTTCAGACCATTAGCCACGACACTAAAAGAGGACTCATTAACGTTATAATTCTCAAAAGGGAATGGACAAAAATGGAGTCTAAGAAAGTAGTTTCCCTGCATTCCAGCAAAAGTATAATTCAAAGCATTGAAAATCCGGGCAGTTTTGTAGAGTGGCCCTAAGGTTGAATTGCCATCAGCAGTAGAATCAGTAGCAGCAACACCAGGAGAACTGACAGTGAAATTATCATTTGGGGCCAAATCACCAATCCATCTCCTACCATCCACAATAACACTGCTATTTGCACCACAGTTTACCAAAACAGGTTTTGACTGAGCTTCTCCACTGCTAACAGATAGGAACACTATGATCAGAAATACAAGACCCAAAATCCCTCTTCCCTGGACCTTCTCCATTACAGCCAATTTCCCTCAAGAACCTTCAAAAATACAAAATCAATCCTCGATTGTCCAACAAGAACCAGCCAAGAAAAAAAACAGTATTTCACAAAATGCGTGAAAATCCCATCTCTTTATTCACCCAAATTACCTCACCACCATCATCAAAAGGCTCACAACAATTTCATACATTAAAGCAGCATCAAGAATTCTCAACAGACTTCAACAGTGCATCAAGTTACCTTCTCTAGTCCCATACAGGCATCTGAATAATGTTTATCAAAAACCAGCTGCACATCCTCCATGAATCCACCCTCTCCAATCAGCAACCCCAGACACCATTCAGATCTGATGAAGCAAGAAGAAACATGCAAGAACTGAATACAAAATGGCAATGAGATGTAAAGAAACAAACTTTTGCTCACAGGAAATGAGATTGAAATCTAGAGAAAATTATCGCAAGAAACAAATCTTGAAAATACTAATTGTGGCTATCAAAACAAAGGAAATAGAACATGGGTTGTAGTTAAAAAAAAAAAAAAAAGGATTGGAAAGTTCACTTCTTTCCATCCTGTAGTTGTCCGTTCTATGCTTTAAAGACAAGAATCTGACATGGCTTAAGCCTCCTTTTTATTATAATCTTTTTTAACTGTTGTCATAAGGCTATCTCACACAAAGACAACATCTTTTGTGATCTTATGATAGTATTTTTCTCTACTTATGGTGGTTTTTGGGCAGTGTAACCAGAGATCGATGAGATGGGGTTCCATTATTGGTGAGGTGAGTCACATGCAGATGTCTGGAAGATGATGAGCAGTGATCCTGTACTGTAGTGACTGAGGATTAACAAAACTACCCTTTGAGTTTCAGCTAGAGCTAAAACAGCTGCGCCTTGCCTCCTTTATTGACCGTACCAAGAGTACCCCTATTAGGTCCTTGAGGGTCCTTGTCCTGATCTCATCTCTATGGTCAAATTAACCAGTTAACGCCTGCCATCTAACATGCTTGCATGTCTTCCTCCTCTCTTCAATCTGCATCCACAATTGCATTGAAAATACATTTATCCTAGTCACTAGTACAATTTCTTTATGTTTATGCAGCGTGGGACAAGAGAATACGTTGCCGACTCTTGTTTCTCACGCTAGTTTTCTTTTTCCTTTTCTTTTACATTTTACTAGAGATTAGGGTTTTTAGCATCCAGTTTTTTTAGCACTGAATCCATTATGCTAGCTTAGTTAACAATAAATTTAAAAACATAAGTTTTGGTTATTTTTTTTAGAAAGAAAAAAATATAAATAATATAAACATAAACATTTTAGTTGAAAAAAATAAAGATAAAAATATAAAAAACATGTATAAATATGTTTTTGTAATAATTTGAGAGTGGTTTTTTATATTTTTAAAATAAAAGGTACAAAAAAATATTTTTTTTATTGATATTATCTTTATCTTTTTTACCTCTGTACTATAATCATACACCATAACATATAATTGATAAGTATAAATTTTATAGAATTTCTAGATTTACTGTATAAGAAAATATTAGATAAACCTAGTTGAATTGATTGCGAAGAATTTATCAATTAACATATATTTTATTTTAGGGGATTGGGACATGTTAGACCAGTGCATTTACATTGATTAATGTATTCATGTTGAGAAAAAAATTAAAATGACCCAGGAAATTTGATATTTTTTTATAATAAAGATCATCATGATGAAGATTATAAAAGTGACACATATATTTGAAATTTATCCATTTTAGGTTGTTGGACTGCTAGTCCTTTTAATATAATACAAGGAAATAAAAGGTTAGGAAAACAATCAAATCCAAGTAGTTTTGAGTGATTATATATCATCCAAACAAGTCTATAAATTGGATTTGATGGACCAACAACCTTGAATCAAACTAGTCATTTATATATCTTTGAAGTCTAACAATTCCATATTTTATTGAAAAATCAATGGATTGATGTATAGTTAAAAGGGAATTCATAATTAATTTTTATTGTGATTGAATGATAGGTTTGATATGTCAGTTGATCAATTTAAAATGATATTTTATTAAAAAAAAAATTAAGATTTAAAATATTGTTAAACCATCAAATTATTTTGTTCCATAGATAGGGATAAGGTCTCTTTTTTTTTTTGACAATCTCCATATCTCTTTTTTTCTTTCTTTCTTTCAAAAATCAATTTTATTAATGTTATGGAAGGAAAAAAAAATCGATGAGATACAATATTAGGATATCAACCAAATATATATCTCTAGCTAGCGTTATACAACATATGAAAATCATATGCTAATCTCTATTAAATTACTATTCAAATGAGATTATGGATGTCCTTTAAGTTTACAATATTTTTGAAAAAAATTTATTCCACAGATAAATTATATTAATTAATTGATTGATATTAACATGATTAATCAATTCAATGACTTATTAATTAGTAAGATGATTCGGGCTAAGTTTTTATTTTAAACAAGATTTTTTTTATCAAAATAATATTTTTTTTATTAAAAAAACTCAAAATAAAATTATTTTTAACTTTTTAAAAATAAAGTAACCCACCAACCCACAATCAAACTTTGATCAGTCTACAAACCGATTAGTTTCATGATAAATACGAATTATATGAACCTGCCATGCTTGATTCAAGGCATGAAAGAATCGAATGAGTGCAATTATTTTCAAAAGCTAATTATTTTATTGTTTTTTGTTTGATTTTCCAATGAAATAAGAGGAATGGAAAAATCAGTTTATACAGTGATGATATAGAACAAAAATCACTGCTTTTCCCATTATAAGTAAAGTCAAGCTCTAAAATAAATTTAATTCTACAACATTATGAGCTACTACAAATTAAAAATTAAGTTGTATGATGGAAATCTTTCATATATGCTAAAACTCAAGGACAAGATTGGCCATATTTAAAGTTTAGCAATCACATTGAAACATTACTTTGAATTTAACTTTTATTCTTAGTTGATTTTATTTTTTTTGTTTTTTCTATTCCATTTTAATATATTTTTCTAGATCTTTTTCTGTTTAAAGTAAATGATCGTTCTATTTTATTTAAATAATGATTGCTGGAGGTAGGAGTTACTAAAGAAATATAGAATGCGAGTATGAATAAAGGTAAAAAAAACGTAGAGGGACCTTATTAAAAAATAAAAAGAACTGAAGATACCAAAAGAACATTTAGCCGGTAAACAACTTTACCGATTCCCTCAGGAGGGCAGGACATAACGCCACAATTTCCAACGTCCAAACCATGGGCATTTCCTAGAGTAACTTATTCTTTACTCCCTTTGTCTTGAACAGTACAACTTAGTCCTCCATGTTTGAAAATCAACATCTCAGTCCCTTAACTCTTGCTGACCGTTGTGCCATATCTTTGCCAGAAGAAGCAGGATTGCATCGAGTCCCCAGTAGGCCAAGACCATGGGAGCTGGCAATGGGGCTTTGGGGCCAATATGATTTTTGCGGTTTGAGAAAAAGTAGATTTAAAAAATTATACATTATATTTTTTTTCTTAATCCATACAAAATTATGTTATATATTAATTACTAAATATTTTAAAAACATAATCACATACATAATAAGAACACAACGCACGAGCCTCATCCTTCACTTGGAAATAAGAAGAGGGGAAAGAGAGCAGGTCACGAGAGGCTCCACGTTGGGACATTGGTTGATCTTAGCTTTACTAGCTGCTGCTCCATTCTGTCCATTTACACAAATTCAATATCTCTTCCAGCCCGAGGTAGCAAGAATCATCAAGAAGAAGTCAAATGGGTTTAAACTCTCTATCCTCCGAGTTGCTCATCTTAAGAACTGCTTGACCACATTAAACATATTGGACTAAGTTATAAATTTGTTCATAAATAAGTGACTAAAAATAGTACACTCTTTGTCCGTATCAAACAAAAATCCTGATGTCAAAGTCTCCATCTTCTTGGTTGAAGTCCTCGCTCCCTAACTTGTGTTTCTTTCCTTCATTGCTTTTCTTTAATCTTTTCATTTCAAAAGAGAGATAGTGTTAGAGAGATATTTTTCTGTTTCAACGATGAATAATTATGGGGAAAGCAATGGAGATTCAAATGTCCATGAAAAACAAGTTGAAGGTCATGATCACTGTGAAAATGGAGATGGGTCTGATAATAGAGTCATTTTGGGGATTGATGGTGGGACTACTTCAACTGTTTGTGTCTGCATTCCTTTATTTTCTTCCTTAAAATCCCTCCCTATCCCTCCTCCTATCCTTGGACGTGCTGTTTCTGGTTGCTCCAATCATAACAGCGTTGGAGGTATTTTTGTTGTTCTTTTTTGTTACCCTTTTGATTTTATTTTTTTTGTGTTTTTCGAATGGTGGATATAGTGGTTGGTGCTTGATTTAGTTAAAGTTTGAATCTTTTTTTGTTTTTGATGTGGGTTGTTTTGGGTTTTGATTATGGCGATCATTAGGTTAATGATTTTTGGTGAGTTTTTATGATTTGGACTGACCCAGATGGGAATTCGGTTGAATTTTGGCTCTTTTCCCTTTAATCCGACTCAAAGTTTGGTACTTCATGGGAAAAAAAGGAAAATAAAAATGGAATTAGACCTTCACCTTATAATCTTCGAAGATCTGCTATTAATTTTTTTTTCATAATTCCCAATTATTTTGAGTTTTACAAATTGGAGTTGGTTTGTTGGTACCAATGCTAAGCTATATGTTTTGGCCCCGGATTTAATCTGATTGTATGTTTATACGGGGAAGTTTTTAGAGTAATTAAGCTGCTGTAGAGTGGACTTTTCGCTCTGATTAATATCTTTAATGTTTGTGTTGTTTGCACAACACTTGAACTCACTTTTTTGAGGTTGCTGATCTCTTAGCTTTGCCAATTGTCTCGTGGATTTTTTTATTTTTTTTTTTGTTGATCAGCTTGATTTGTTCATGCTTTCTTTTGAGAATAGGGGTTCTTGGATGCTTAAATGAACTTCTAAGTTGGTAGTTTTTAAGAATTCTAATGCATAATGTTTGTTGTCTTCTCTGTATCAGTTCCAATATGGACACGCTAATAATCAAAATTTTCTGATAAACCTTCAATTATTATAGCCCTACGTCATATCCTTTATGTTCTCCACACCATTGTTGAATACATTAATATAATATCAACACTCTCACATTGTCAACGTTGAAGAATCAAAATGGCAAAACATTGTTTCATTTTCTTTGCTTTTTTTAGTTACGTTCATTTATCATATCCTACAGAAACTGCTGCCAGGGACACATTGGAAGAGGTTATGGCTGAAGCCCTCTCAAAATCAGGTTCTGACTGGTCAGCTGTTCATGCTGTTTGTTTAGGCGTTTCTGGTGTTAACCATCCAACTGATCAAGAAAGGATACTAAACTGGCTAAGGTTTGCATCGGAGTATTACCTAGCACCTTTTTATCTCACTGTGCAGTGACCTGACCAGTGGAAATTGAACATAAATTCTATCTTTTTTCATGTCTTATAAGAGCCCATTATTGTTCATTGAGACCTTAAAATATAATCTTGTTGCTTTCATTAATCCTCGTGTTTTAGTTGGAATGTTCCCAATTCCATATAAAATATTTTTCTGCTTGAGGCCATAGATTCACCTGCACCATTACTACTTGCTTCTTATTTTCCTTCTCCTTGCTTATTACCAATGAATTACTCGTGGATGTCTTGTTCTGAATCAGATGCTCTGTTTTTACAGAGAAATATTTCCTAGCCATGTGAAGTTGTATGTTCAGAATGATGCTGTTGCTGCTCTTGCAAGTGGGACCATGGGAAAGCTCCATGGCTGTGTATTAATTGCTGGTACGGGGTGCATTTCTTATGGATTTGCTGAAGATGGCAGAGAAGCTCGAGCTTCAGGCGCAGGACCTGTCCTAGGTGATTGGGGGAGGTATGTGCTATGCACTCGGTGTGTGGTTAGTTCTTTGCCTAATGCAGTCAGGGTGTATGAGATAGATTTGAGTTTTAGTTTCCTTGTCTCTTCTTAAATAATCAGCAGTTTGAATGCTAATTACTTTGTTTTCTGAAAATAACAATAGTGTT